TTTTAAGCGCTCAACATCTACAGCCATAAGGAAGTCGAACACATGCATTCGAAGTTTCCAAGGCCATGTCTGGACATCCAAGGGGTCTAAGGGATACACCTGCATATGTGCTTGGGCTGAAGATGGCCGCGCAGGCAGTTGCTTTGCCTGGTCTTGGGCGAACCTAGTGGTTTGCGCGTACTACTACTACTACTACTACTACTACTACCACTACTACCACTACCACCACCACCACTACTACCACTACTACCACTACTACCACTACTACTACTACTACTGCTACTACTACTACTACTGCTACTACTATTACTGCTATTATTATTACTTCTACTACTACTTCTTCTTCTGCTAGTTCTACTTTTTCTACTACGACTACTGTTCTTACTATTAGTTATTCGTCTTACTTTGACCACAACTATCACTGCCAGTCGTGCCATTGCAATTTGCTATCGCTATCACAACTTGTCATTTGCATGGCGCGACTGCTCAATGGCGCGACTGCTGCTTCTACTACTGCTACCATCCAGAGGATCCAGCAATCCAGGACACGTGAACGTGAGACGACAAGCGCATGCTATTGGTCGCTCGGGCCTCAGCGTTAAGCTTCAGCACTCATGAGCTGCATCACCCGCACGATGAAACCTCACCCAACGGCCTCTACTATCATTGCTAGTGCTATTACTCTTGCTTACTACTGCACTTACTATTACTGTTGCTTTTAGTGCTACCATGTGCTACCATTTTGACTTGTTCTATCACTGTTCCTAGAACTACTGATAGCAGCACGGCCAGCATGACCAGCACCAGCACTTCCGCCACAAATACAGCAGCTGCGACCGCATGTACAACAACCTGCGACCAAAGGCCTTGCCAACCAAGCATCACCAACAACCAGCATCACAAAAACCAATAAGTGAGCCACAAGCAAAAAAGAAAAAACGGCGACAGCAGCCGCGGTAGCCATAGTAATGGCAGCACTAACCGTGTCTAATCACAACAATCATAAGAACAACAATCAGAGCAATATGTATCCAAAGCTCATCCACGGAGCTTCCACCCGCTTTTTTGTTGAAAAGCCTTTGGGGGTTGCACTTCCCTTGACGTCCTCCAGCACACTTCACTAAACAAGTGCCCATTGTGCCCGCATCTCACATGTCTCGTTTCCGGGGTCTCTGGACAAACTGCCCAGCAAGAATTCGCAGAGGGGAACTCGCAGGTCTAGATAGCTGGGCTCTGAAGTCTGACCTGAGCCCAGTACCCTGTCTGCTTTCGATCAATGCAGGTGAACAGGACTTCCTCGAATCCACCATACCTTGGGAGATTGAAGCATCGGATTTGGCATGGCGATCGCACAGCTACAGGTTGCTGACGAGCAGCCAGCCATGCCGAGGAGCATTCTCTAAGAACTGTTCCTTAATGAAGGTGGCTTCCTTGGCTGATCTTGCCATATCTTATCAACACCGCTGGCTTTGATCACACAGCTCTACAGAAATCACCTGTAATTCAAAAGAAGATTCGATTGGTGGCACCGCGCTTCTTTGTTTTTTGAACATCCGGCGCTCCCCTTCGGGAGGGCCAAGATCAACAATAGTCCCACGAAGCTGAGCAACCTGGAGGGCTGAGCATAACAACGCACAGGTGTAGTTCAGTCACTCGGTAATGTGTGGTGCCAATTGAAAATCGGCTAGTCATTTGAAGAAAGGACCAAGTAGCCAAGTCCTCCGAGCTGGAGAATGTTTCCGCACACCAAGCCCTGAAGGCAGCCCACAAATCGGCGCACTTCCCATCCACCTGCACATATTCTGTGGAAAGACTGCGGAGCCGACACACTGCTAGATACTGCTAGCCCTCGGCACCTCATACAGCGTCAAGAATCCCGACTCGTCAGCCTTAAATGGATGTTTAGAAGGCGACAAACGCACACAAACACACATCCTGCACGCTGGCACTTTTCGAGTATGGAAAGTATAGAGAATGAATGAGCTCTAAGCCAAGCCATGTGGCGTCTATCTGCGCAAAAATCCGCTCAGCATCGCCTGTGAATTGCAACCTGAAGCATGTCCGACGTCCATGAGATGCTTTAGCTTTTTCGAGTTTTACAAACAAGTCGTATGAAAACACTCGAAAGCATGTTAACCCTGTACTAGGATTCCCATGAGGTTGAAGACCAACAAGGACAAACACAAGGTCGATCAGCACCGGTGTTCACATCTGTGAATACTGCAGCCGGGAAACCTGCGCATGGCGCTGATGAATTCCTGGCATAAAAAGCCAGAGACATCATTTGCAACTGTCCAAAGGAAAGACGCGAATACAACAAATGTCAGGCCTCCAAGGACACTTGCCCATCACCGTCTTCAGCTGTGTCGAAATATCGCAACCAAGCTGGGAGGACGTGGCCAGCAGCATTCCTTGAATCTTCACACAATGACTCTGCGGCATACGGCTTACGAAGCATAAGAAACTCAACTCCCAGAAAAGAGATGACTTCCAGCAGAGAGTCCGCAGAAAAGCTGCAAGGTAGTCGGCACTATCATGTATCATTTGCAAAACAGCTGTGCAATCTACGCGATGGCTTGCATGATCTGCGTGTGGTCTTGCGAATGCAAAGCTGCAAGAATATGAAAGTGATGTCACTTCTCTGCATGTAAACATACCTCCAAGCCAAACGCGGACTGGCGATCAATGCAGCTGACTAGTGTTCAAAAGACTCGGGCTCCAACTTTCAGATACAGCAGGCCGCAACCCTCTCCTCTAGCGTAGCCATCCCCGCCTCAGCAACAAATGAGTTCATTTGCGCAGCATGCGCGTGGCTTGAGTTGGTGCGCGAGGTGAGGCAGGGACTCTCGTTGAAAGTGAAACATCTCCCCATGGTGGAGAGCATGTGCAATCCGCACCTTGGCGTGTATTCCATTGCCATGCTCTACATGCTCTACGCTTCCCTACAGCTGCTGCGGCAACGCACTACATGGTGATAGCCTCGTTAGGCTTCCTCTGCTCTAAAATGATGTCTGCACGAAGGGGTCAGGTCTGGTTCTATGAAAGAGCTGTGAGGCCCCTAAATTCTCAAAACGCTCACAACCACCTTGGCCAAACCATCTAAGAATACGCAAAGTTCTCTGACGCAGCAACGGTCACAAGGGAAGCATACGACTGATCTTGTTTGCACAGCATGATTCATTGATGTGGAAAGGCTTGTAGCATAAAAGTTCGGCTCTCAAGCTTCCTGAACATGCCACCACGGACAACACCACCGCCCAATTCCAGTAGCAAATCAAGCCCTTCAAGCATCCAGTGCCGGCGCAAAGCTGGCAACCTCAAGCAATGACTGAATTTCGGCTGAAGGAAGATTTGGGAAGCCTCCAGGAGCTGGCATATGAACGGCATGGCAGGCATACATCTTACCGCGTCCGGCGCGCAGCAACATCAAAAGCAGGGCAAGTTCGATCATTTAGAGGGCCAGCGAGGGTCTAATCTGTTGGAAGAGCACCGTGTAACTCGTACCTGGGTCGCCCGCATTGCTATGTAGGTACCTGGGCCTGGCAGGAGTCTCAGTCAGCTCAAGAGGCAGCACAACTGCACAGCAAGTTGCGTGCCTATTTGGCAGCAAATCCCTCCAGCCACAGCTTCTTGCAGCCTTCGCTTTTGCAAGATTAAACTTATTAGTGTCTAAGCGCTGCGAACTCTCCTCAGGCTTGCTCTCAACAGCGGTCGCTTGCAATCTGCTTTTTGCAAATTGCCCGGGTCGAACCGGCACGGGTGGCATACTCCTCTGTCGTCTCAACCTACATGCCTCTATTGTAGTAAAGCTCCAGGGCGAAGCGCTTCGTTGGCCACCTGCCCGTGTCCTCAGAAAGTCTGCGGGTGCTTCGTGTTCGACAAGTTTGGATTCGTTCGACTGGGCGGGAGGGTATCCCCCCCCCCTATTTCGCAGCCTCCAAGGATAACGTTCCACCCAAATTCCACGTAGCGTACATAAGTACCCATACCCCCTCCGGCTTTCGTCTGGACAGAGCCATATAGGGCTTATTAATTTCAGTAATTATGGCTTATATATCCCATTAGAGTGCTTCATGTGCTTATTGCACTCCGTCTTTTGTACAAAGACAGTGTTCATAGGGAATCCCATTTGCTACAAGGCAGGTGAAGGGTATGCGATATTTGGTCGTTCTCCATAGCCTTAGCATCAAAGGAGTCCGAAATCGAATCTGTTTTGGAGCAAGAAGCGAGGTTTTTTCTCTTTTCCATATGAATAATACTTGTACTATTCCATCAGCTTTCGAAAGAGACTGATGTGTCTCAATTTCAGGGAAGAAGTCTCGAATCCTTGGCCCTTCATTTTCTCTATTAAAAACACTTACTCAATTGGCTACGAATTTGCAAGCTTCTGTGATTGTGGCTCCCCATATTCTTTTACCACAGATCACTTATTGAATATGCTTCAAAATGAAATGAAATCGCAATAAGTCCGGCTTCTTGTTTTTTGTTTGCTGTTTACCAAATACGTGACTACATTGACTTTGCATAAATCCCCTAAAACTGTGCTTCAATTCTTTACAGAACGAATTCTCAAATCCAGGCTTCTTACTATTCACCATACCACGGCCTTACTTTGTTTGAAAATTCTAAGCTGAAACTCTGAAATCCTGGGCACCTGTTCGCCTTGTTTTCTATGTAGAAATCCCATATTCCAGGCACTGCAAATTCTAAAAGGATTTCTCGAGTCTTGGCCGTCTTTTTTGTCACTAATTTAGGGGATTTGGATATGGGCTTCGAAACATGGGGGCTGTTTCGGAACGGGTGGGAAATACCACTAAACGGTTCAACTTTAAGCATCTAAGCCATTAAACCTTTAACCCTATCGTTGCCCCCATATGGGAACCCATGCCTTTAAACCTTTAAACCTATCGTTTTCCCTTGTTTACCATTGAAACCATTCAACCTTTAAAACCCTCAACCTTTGAACCTTTGAGCCTGCAAACCTATGGTTTTCCCCCATATTAAAATCAATTAAGCCTTTAAATCTTTAAACCTTTGAGCCTTTAAACCTATGGTTTCCCCTGTATGGGGACCCATGAAACCATTAAACCTATCCTCCTGTTACATGGGCCCAAAACCATAGGTTTGAAGATTTAACAGTTCAAGGGCGTAAAGGTTTAAATTTAAAGCTGGGCTTCCAAATGGGGGAAAGCCATCCGTCTGAAAGTTTAATGGTTTAATGGTGAAACCGTAGTATTTCGAAACACGCCCCATGTTTCGAAAACAAATTCCGTAAACATCAATGCCTAAATGGGCCTAAATGTTAGCGAAAAGTGTAGGTCTTCACATCCTGAACTACGATACGCACAAAATTCCAGGGGAGAATGCCCTCGTACCCGTTCGACTTTCAGAGAAGCAGACCCATGAAACTGTTGATTAGGATTTCTACAAGCAGCCGCCATATCCCGCAGCAACAGTACATTGTGCGCAAACGCAGGCACACCGCTCTCCAGCTGCGCAGCTTTGGAGATGCGAACAGCGCCTTCGTTCAGCTGCCCAGCGTATATATTCGCGACACCCAAGTTGTTTTCAAGATAAGCCTGCAGAAGTGCCCGAAACTCGTGACGGTGGATCTATGCAAATGTCGAACTCTAAACATGGTAAGTTTGAGTTTTGCCTGCGCTGCATATGCCGAACAGCAGAAACCAGTTCACGAGGTACAAATGCAGCCTGGAAACGTTTCCTGAATCATACTTCAAGCCCAGCTCAAAGGCTGCAACGGCTTCTTGAATCTTTCCCAGATTGAGATATGAGTAGCCTGAAGGGAAAGACTTCGGACTCTGAACCCCATCCGGGTGGATCTCAGGATGTCGTGGCACAAAAACAAAAAAAAACAGAAGTTGTGATGACCAGCAGCCAAGCGCGTTAAGACCGTGGGGTACGTCCTCGTTACGCCGCAAGCCCTCATTAATAGGGTCTACCGCCTCTTGAAAACGCTGCTGCAAAACCAGTGAGAAGCCTCAGTTGGCCAAAAGTACTCTGCAGCACTCGATGCTAAGTTGACGTGTTCCTTCCGTTCTCTGACTAAGCTGCCCTGCCAGGTCTGCCAAGGGTCCATAGTCAACGTACAGCGAAAAGATGTTGTGGGAACCAAATCCCAAAGCATGCCTCAGAACAAGCTCCGGCTTCTGATGCCAACAAAAGTGACCCAATCATCCTCCACATGGACGAATGTAGGCAATGAATGATCTGACTTTATCTTCGATGTATCACTTTCTTTGAAAATCTTTGAAGCGTTTGCGCAAACGTCGCCAAGTAAAGCGTGCATGAAAGCAAAAGTTTGCAGCGTAGGCACCCTGAAAGAATCTTCTCAAACTTGGCCTCGGCCTCTCTGGCACGGCCAGTCTCCAACAGAATTTGACCAATGCAGTACTGCGTGAGTCCAGAACCATCCTCAGGATTACTCTTGGCAGTTGACAGTATCTCTCAGCTTAAGCTTTAGCTTTGAAATATCCACTTCAGAACCCATCTACAAGCCTGAGACCAACTCTCCCAAGGCACGTAGATCTGCTCTGCAGCTTCGAAGTGGTGCAGAGCCTCGCTGAAGCGCTCCATTTTGTGCAGCACGGTCCTTGTCTTGTTAACGCTCGAAGTGCAGCTAGAAAGGTACTGGCGCATGCTGCTCTGTGTATGTAATCACTTCTCAGAAGGTTGAGATTTTATCTAGAAAGATTGGCTTTTTTTGTTTTGTGCAGCTGGCTATTGCTGCTAAAAATCCCAAGCTGGTGACGAGCCTTGGTAGACCGCGGATAGCTTTGAGCATCCGCCGCAAAGAGAAGCTCACGAGAAGCCCACTGGCATGTGCGTACCCTGGCCAGCCAAGTAAAGACAGCCAGCATCCCCAAGAGCAGGGCCTTGAAGATTGCCGGCCCATGGAAGCTTGCAGAGCTGTCAAAAGAAGTGTCCTTGGGGCTTTTCCCTGTTGGTGTGGTCATCCGTTTCAAGGCTTCCCTGGAAGTGCTGCGTGTCCCGAACGTGCCAATTAGGATTGCTAGCCCAACATTGCAAGGATAAAGCAAACGTTCGCCGACCGTGACCCCCACAACGAAGAAGAGGTTGGAAGCTGGAACGAAAGGTATGATGATATTACTCAGGCCAATCAGAACCAAACGTTTCCTCATGGCAAATGCCCATGCCGCTAGAGCTGATATACCCAAATATGCGGCCAGGATTGAGAGTACGCGAACGTCTTGCCAGCTGGCAGCCAAATCTGGGAGAGCATCGTATGAGTAGTCCCAGGACAAGGTCCAAGGAAAAACCATAAGCTGAGCATACTTGGCATGGAAGTACAGGTAAGTGGCCAGACGCAACAGCGGATCATTCCGGTACTGGACAGGTGTATCCACGAATGAGAACCCAGCAGAGGTACCCGAAGTAATCCAGTTTCGCCCCAGGAAGATGAGGCCAAAGACGCTGACAAGGGGAACTGCGCCACTCAGGGGACGAGGTCCCAGAAGCTCCATCACTGCAAGATGCAGCAAGACACAGAATCCGCTTTCTTTGCAAAATCCACCCAGCACAGCAAGTGCAGACACCAAGAAGATGCGAAAGGCGTGTGAGACAAGCCTTCTCTGCCTTTGTGGCGGCTGCCAACACAAGCAAGCGACCAGCCAACAGAAAGTGGCCATCGCGTCAGCTCGCCCCACTAGGTAAATGACGTTCTCTGCGTGCACAGGGTGCACAGCAAAGAAGCCAGCCGCTAAAAATGCCGGGAATGCTGCTACATTCAGGCGCCGAAGCAGAAAGACCAACAAAGCCGAGTTGCAGGCATGAATCGCGACGTTGAAGGCTCGCAGGGGCTGCGGTCTGAAGTCCCAGGAATTTAGCCAGTACTGTGCAGCATAGGAGAGCACAACCAACGGTCGGTATGACTTGTGGGTCCAACCGCCCTGCAGAGAGTTGCCCCAAAAATCGTGTTTCAGAAGCTCTCGAAAAGAGGTTTCCCCTCTCGCATCAGCGTTGCGCACCGCAGCGAACAGCTCATCAATATACCACTCGCTGTAGGTGACACAAGGACCAAACACCATGCAAAGGAAAAAAGCCCCAAGCGTGGCTAGCCACCAGTTGCGCCTCGTAGGACAGGAGCCAGAAGCAACTGTCGTATCTGCTTGCGCTGTTCTTGCAGAAGGCTCCGCGTACTCATTGCGGGGACGAGGGCTTAGCAGGAAAAACTCCTGCAGCAAACGACTGTCAAATTTGGGGTTCTGACTTGCCTTTCTCAGGCTGTTCTGCACAGACTCCACGAGATAGCTAGGCACGTTGGCCCCTCGCAGGTGCTCACAAACCAACGTGTGGAGCTCCTCAACCTTGGACCGACGCTCGCCCGAAGTGGCCTGGTAAGCAGCCATCTGGCGCTGTTCCTGTTCATACCGTCCTTCGAACATGCCCAAAATCAGTACGGACTAGCACTAGCAAAGTATGGAAGACGACCTGTTAGAGTGAAACAACAGCGCTCCATGCTTGCTCTGATAGATTTGCAACGTGCATGTGTCGAATTACCGCCTACAGCTCAAAGAAGCCTTCATCACTCCAGCAAGGCACGGCAAGCCATGCTACTCTCTTGAGGCTGAAGTCATGTGATAGGTTTAGCTGCGTCAGCTCTGCTCTCAGGAAAGGAAACATGATTGTTCACTGATGCGATCGGCCTGCCGTAATTCAGGTGTTCCAAATGCTGACCGACGTTTCGAGGTCGCAGCCACTGCATGGCAACCTGGCAGCTGCCGCAAACAATTCCTTCCAGCTGATCCAAGCCATGTTGCAGGCGGAGGGCGGTCCGGTCGCTGTCGGACAGTGTACGCAAGGAGAGCTTTCTGAGAGCTGATTTAGTCACCTGGTTGATCCACCTCCCTCCGACAAACACGAAGCACTTGTGATTGCTTGCACTTCACGTGATTCGACAATTGGTCTTGTAGTGTTTTGGTTGACAATGGTCAATAAAGGTCATTCTGACTTTGAGGAAACCTTGCATTTCGCGGGGGGCACGGAAAGACACGGTCAAACTGCCGTTCGGGGTGTCCACTAACAAAAATGCAAAAACGCAAGCCGCCCGCTTCGGAGCCGTCTTGCTCATGTGCCACATTATGCAGAGGAGAAGCGAAATGTCCCTCTTCCTGCACATGATGTATGTCTTCCCGTGCCTCGCACCTCGCATGTGATCCTGGTACAACCTTATCACTCTGCCATTTTGGAAGAAGGCTTCAAAATGGCAAAGTGGCCGGCTCATCATTATACTACAGTGCGGGCACCTGGAGTGTGGTGAGAAGCTACACGTTACAGGCAAGGCTTCTCCAGGAGCTGCTTGTGTGCGGTCTGCTGGCGTCAAAGTTTGGCATGATCTTGGGGTGGCTCCTATCTCCTGTTGGTATGGGCTGGGCCGACATGGCTGATATTAGTGACTCACAGGCGCAAGCCTGTGAGTGCTGTTGGAGCATCTATCGTGCCATGTTCTTTGATCTTTCTGAAGCAATGACCTGACCAGCCAGTAGTTCGGGATTGGGGAAGCATTCTCGAAACAACTCCAGACAAACCCTGCACCTTACAAACTTGTCGCTGATGCACGTGGGCCAATGACGCGCTTGCTGGGAAATACTCGCCCGCAAAACGAAAAATACATGGAGCTTGGTGATGTTTTTTGCTCCTACGGATGTTAGAGCATTGCCAAGGCCAGATCAACAATCAGCCAGCTGTGCCCCAGTAGCTACAAGTGATGAGGAACAAGCTGTGTCAGCGGTGGTGGACGGTCCTTGGCGGGCCGCAGCAGACATCTCCTATGTTTGCTCGCCATACATCAAAATTGAGAAGCGGACCCACTAAATCAAGCGCATGCGAAAGCCGGCATGGCACCACCTAAATAGCCAGGCCAACTCATTTTGCACATGGAAATCAGGAATGAAAGTGCAATTGTCACCAACGCTTGAAGTGAAAGCGGCCGAGGTATTGAACCCAGTTCCCGAAGTGGCATGTACACCTCAGACTGCTGTGCAGAAACGTCCGTGACTGCAGCCACAAGCAGCTGATAGACAACAGGACGGCAAAGGACCGTGCCCGTGACCGTCCTTTGCTCCTGCGGCAAGCTTGTCGGTTGTCTCACATTCATTAGACCCCTCTCCTTGCCCCAGTCTGTCTAAGCCTAACCATGCATGTGCCTTTTGGGTGCCTCTATGCCTTCCTCATTCTGTTCCCTTGTCTTCTAATTGAACATACACTGGCTTGCGCCTGCCCTCTTTGGATGACATGCTCAGCCGGGTTGAAGGGTGACCAGTCCTCGGGTCACAGGACAGTTCGGCGCGACAAAGCCCAGCTCACAAGAAGACCCTGCGCTTGAAAGCCCTCCCATATCGGGATTACCTTAAACTCCGGTGCCCTCTCCATATGGGGGGTCGTAGGGCCCTCTCACGGGTAGGCTTCGGATCATGTTTACAGAATTTCTGGTGATTCGCAACCAGTTGCAGACTCAAGCAGAAGGAGCCGAAGCACCAGCAGCCCTGGTAGCAGCAGCAGAACTAGCAGGGGTGGCGTTTGTTGTAGCCGTAGTACTTGTAGTTGTCACAGTAGCAGTAGCAGCAGTAGCAGCAGCCATAGCAGCCGCAGTAATCGTTGTCGTAGCAGCAGCAGCCGACACAGCAGCAGTAGCGGTAGTGGCAGTGTGCTTGGATCTGAATACTTCGAGGCCTGTGATACACAGCGCATCATGAACATCACTTCCTACAAGACATTATGGCAGCATGAAGTATCTGCGCAAATTCCACAAAGTGTGCGTCACTTCGAGACATGCAACCATTTTCGCATCAGGAGAGACTTCAAGCTCCAGTTCAATTTTGTCGTGGAGCAGAAAACTCATCTTAGCAACATAGGTTCGGTTCTACAAAAAGCGAAATTAATGAGTTGTTGCTTGTTTTTGGTTCTATGCCATAATTTTGCTCCTTGTTGTTTGAACAAATTAATGGATTGTTTCACTCGCTGCAATTCTGGTTGCTTTTGGCTTCTGGACCTCAATACACGACTTTTTGGAACAACAGCCTCTAATCGCTGGCCTCTAACCAGAAAACATGTCCTCCGCTTGGCATGTGTATGAAAGACTTCGGTAGGACCCGATTGCATTTGCCGTTCTAAAGAAGAAATCCATTTTCTTCTTGGCCAGTTGGGAAATACGTAGCTCATTGACTCCAACTGAATGCTTTCATTCTACTCTAGTAAGACTTCGGTTCAATTGAAGTACGTTCTGCTATGAAATTTCCTTTATAGAAAAAAGTGCCAGACGATGAACATCTGAAAAATTAAAGGACCGGAGAACCCCACATGTGTAGTTTAATTAACCCGGATCTAAGTGAGATACTATTAAGATAGCGTCGCCCGGCGAATAAAGGACGAGATATATTAACAGAATATGAGAAGGCGAAATATTAACTCGCGACGATACGGAGAATTACGAGAAAAAGGAAACGATCGTTCCGAACGATGCAAGAAGCTGGCAACGCGAACGCGGAGAAAAAAAAAACGCGTGTGTTGAGAGAGATGAGCTGGTCGTTCGTGTAGCCGGAATGATCCTCTCAGTGATGAAACACCTCAGCGTGGGTTGTAAAGTTCACAGCTGAGGGAACAAAACAATGAAACCGAGCTCCAAGCCATATGTTCTATGTGCGCGAAATGGCGATGTGACAACATCGTCCGGTACTGAGAGAAACAGGTCCCAGATTACGAAGAAGGCTTCACTGCGGTGGCTGCAGCAGCAAGGCCTGGACCACATCGAAGACACGCCAGCAGGTTCCTGACAGATGAAAAGGTTCATGACTCACGTAGGTCTACCATCAGTAAAGCATGCGAGTTCTGGCAGCATGAAAATCACCCAGTGAGTGAGTGAGTGAGTGAGTGAGTGAGTGAATGAGTGTCGACCTGGGGTGCCCTCCGGCCTACGGAAACGGTCCCTCTCACTTTCTTTGCCCCTCCGCATGCGTCAT